CTCTCTTCCTCACCTCCCCTCCCATCTCTCCCCCCTTTCTCTTTTTCTCTGTTTAACTTAAATGTGTATGTGTAATATATTTATCTTATGTAATTCTTTATTTATTATTTTAATGTTTCAGGAGTACCGTTTACTTCATCATCGACACCTACAGCAAGATGCTTTCGAAGTTTTTACGATTGGTTTTCCAGTGTCATTGAAATTGTTCCTTTAGCATTGCTGACATCTGGTATATTAAGCGCATATCAGATTGATGAAAAAATTCGTACGTTGTTATTGTTTCTTGGTACAATACCAGTATTTTTTCCACTAGCGATAAAACAGAAGGAAAGTCAAATCAGGAAACTGCGTTTCTTGACGAATATTACTATCGTGTTGCAGATTTTGGCGATAATGATACTCGGCTTAAAAAATGGCAATTACAATGTCATTAGTTTAGTCGCTTCCTATACTTTTGAACGTTTCTTTGTGGAAGAATTTTGTTATCGATACAGTATTCCGTATACCGATCTGATGCAGTATTGTATATGCTTTGTGGAAGTTTTTACGGTATCAACGCTGAAGGAATTATAAAAAAAGAGACTTTAATTTACCTATTTGCCTGTCATCTATTTCAGGCAACTGTTATTCAAAATTTAAGACTCTTGATTAGTTGTTGCGGCCACATTGTCTTAAACGTGAAGTGAAAATATACAATTTATTTTCACTTTATATGTCTTTTACTGACGACTATTTACTGATTATCAAAGAGAAATAAAGGTAACTCTGATCCATTTTTACAAATATTTTAAAGTTATCACATTATTTTGTTTTATCTAAATTCTCTTTACAAATGATATGCAAAAAATTTGACATGTCATTTCTCGCTTATGACGTCACATTTCAATATGACCGCGGCACCGGAATCAGAAGGCTTAACAAATTATACTTGATTATATTTGATACAAAGACTGTCAATTTTTAATATAATATAAAAAATCTACCTTTTGTTATATTAATCTTGCAACAATTGTTCGATAATAGCTGACACTGTAATATATATATAACATTGAGTTTGCTATCAACTTGTAAATTAACAATGTTTAGGGGAGAGTGGCGTAAATCCGACCGTGTTCCAAATAGGACTTTTTTAATTTAAATGAATACGCATGAATTATTAAACAGATTTGCATACTTTTTATAATATAAAGTCCTTATATAAGACACCGAACATGTGACAGCAGTTTGACAATTCTCTGTCATAACATTCATAGAATAGACGCAAATATGTGTTTTCAGCCATCGTGCGAAAATTTTTTTAAAAAAGAAAATTCTTATATATATCATTACGTAAAAGGTGTTAAAAATTTGAAAGGTAATTGATTTAAGATAATAAATTAAAGAGTGCAATTCAAAACATCAAGTATTTTGTGATCACTTTTACAGTTTATTGTAAAATTTGTTACAAAGTTTGAAAGGACCTGTATCCAAATCGGATAGTAGATAACTTATAGGGCTGGTTGTAGTACTGGTAATCGGCCGATCAGATCTAGTCCAAGGAATTAAATCAGTAAATAAAACTAAATATATAACGCTCACTTATAATACTAAGATATATGAGTAATAGCTAGAGTACAGTTGCTAAAAGATAATATTTCAAATAACATCAAATAAAATATACGTTTCGACCAGAACATTCTTAAATTTTTAAATCAGTAAAATATTATGAGTCAATCAGATTCAGATTAATTGAATTTTATTGATTTCAATTCTAATAAAAAATATAAACTGTCAATAATGTTTTTTCTGAATAAAATTATTATTTTTGACTGTCAAATTGCTTTTTTTTTTACTGAGTATTAAAAATACATTAAAATATTTTAAAATTCTATTTAAAAGTCCATAAAAATAGGAATGTTCGATTTAGAACCATTGGAAAAAAGCGTTTTTACATTTTCTGTTATAATTCAATACAGGTGGGAGATCAAAAAATTGTCTCAAGCAAAAATGGGAGGAATTAAATCTTTCCAACATTCGATTTTACGATCGGACTTTATTTACGCCTCATAGAAAGCAAAAACTGCAAATAGATCCGATTTACTTACCCCACTCTCCTATACTAAATTTTCATATATTATATATTTTACATGTGTCAGGAGGTACTGCCAATTTTCAAGACAAGATAATTATTATACTCTTTAATACTCTTTTATAGAGGGATTACCTTAAATAATCTAGCTGAATAATTCGAAAATATCTAGACAGCAACGTGTCTATCTTGTTGCTGGCATGTTGCTTGCTAGGTATGCATTGCTAAGTATAGGTCTGTTTTCTGTGGCTGAACTATTATATATATAGTGTATACTTTTGGAATTTAAAGTGAGATAGATATACGTTCAAAGCGAGAAAGAGAGTTCTATTGTAGAACAGCCTAGTGCAGAAAACAGATTATGTATTGCTACCAGAATTGCAGCAACTGAGTCCTCATTTGTTGGCAACTTGATGTCGTCACGATATGATAATATTGAGTAGCAACTTGCCAGCAATTTACCGACAACTTTAAAATCGTCATCAACAAAATTCGTGCTGTTGTCATCATGTAGCCATAATAATATGCAGCATCGTACAATGCTGTCATATTGTCGACAACGCGAGATAACATTGATGCAGCTATCTTGCTATCAAACTGCTGGCAATATATATATATGTATATACATACATTGTTGTTTGCATGTTGCTACAATGTCGATATATTTGAAATCGTGATGTATATTGAAAACAAATCTACGGCAAGTTGCCAGCATCATAAACAATCACAGATTTGTGCGATTTTGTTGAGACACGCTTTGCTATCTGGAAAGCCCTACAGGCTTATTTAGGCAGAAGTTGTATGTGTGGAACGATAAAAATCACTTTTTAAAATTTATTTTCCAAAATGTATTGCGAAGTGAAAAATTATGCAATTTGCGATATGCAATTACATGTCTTGTTAAAAAACAATTATGTTTTTCGTTTATACATTAATTGATTCATCTCATTTTGTACAGAAAAATATTAAAGTATGATTATAAAAATAATTAATAATTTGTGAGATATATATATATATATTTAATATTTTATTTTCAAAATATGCCAAAATAAAGCGTAAAATATACTGATTTTTTTATAATTGTAATATGCAAAAATAATTAAGAGAATCATATTATGTAAAAAAGCCATAATTTTATTTAAAAAATGATCTTCGCGTAACTTTAAAAAAACCGATTTTGCTTTTTTTTGAACAATTGATTTGCAATTATTTGTCTCTCTCCAGACTATACAACTTTTGTCTGAAACATTTTTATATACCTGTCAGGATAAGTCTTCGAAATATTCGACTGAACTCTAAAATGGAACACTTCGTATATGTACAAAAACAATAAGTAGAAGTTATTCAAGACTATTTCAAGGATGAAAATATTTGGCGAGCTGTTCACAAAACTAGAAAATGTATAAATTCACATAGACATATTAAAAGGCGAATGTATATCAGTTGTACACATCCTATTGGATATCAGCTAATCAACGCTAGAAAAAAAATTCCTTAGATGAAAGCTAATGATTAGCAGTGGGCAATTGTAACAGTATGCAAGTATACCGCCCCCTTAAAAGTTAGTAGCGAATTTGATTGAGCGCACTAGTGCACATTACATAATTTATACAAGTAAAGATGTATTTAATACATATAGAAACGGATTAAACAGCACATTCTCAATACATTTTATTTACTTTTTTTGTGCTATTAGATAAAATATGTATTTTAAAATATTTACATGTTACTTTTACACTCAGGTTAAATCAGCGTACGGTTTTAGTATGCCCCAGTGCGCACTAGTGCATCCAATCGAATTTGCTGTAACATTCAGCTCTGATTGAATAGGCTTATTTTTATTTACAAAGGGTCTATTCGGTTCAATTTTTTTTGAAATATGCTGTTAAACACAAAGATATAAGAGATATGTACTTTTTTTTATAACGGCCTTAGATTCAAAAGGTAAAACAACTCCTTAAAACTAAAGTTTATATTTGATTCCTATCAGTTATCAGCAAAACTGAAATTTACAAAAAAATGTTTTAGAAAAACTTTTATGATTTTTTTTAAATAGTTATAAGCGTGTTTAGATTTTTCAAAAATATATTTTAAAAATACCTCATCAAATTAATTTTGAGGAATTGTTTCATCCTTTAAATCCAAGATTGGACTGATATAAAAAAAGTACATACCTCTTAGACTTTTGTATTTTAACAACATATTTCAAGGAGAATCGAATTTCTGTAGACCTATTTTGTAACTTTTTGATGACAATTCGATATCGTTATATTGTCGTTACACAGCTTTTTCAATATATAATATATCTGCGCAACGACATCCAGCTAGTAAAATTGTCATTAAAAAATTATAGAATAGGTCTACTGGACAGTTATGATAGGAGCAAGGGTCAAAGCTTATATTTTATATTATGCTATTATCAGTAAAACGATGAAATATTTCGGTTTGAATTGGTTCCAAACAATTGTGACAGATTCCTTATTAATAATACGTAATATATAAAAATTATGTTTTTCTTTACTTTTTATTTTTTATATTTATTTTGAAATAATAAAGTAATTTTTTAGTAACATTTTGATACATTTTGTACGATATATAATTAAATCTTAGTAAAAAGATACTAAATTTTCCGACACAATGTAATACAAAATAATTCAGGGTGTGTATATGTTGAATTTACTCAATATTTTTTAATTAATGAATATATTAGAAAAAGACGTACTATGAATTGTGCATGGATTCAATTTATACAGTCTTTTTTTGTATAAGATTTATGTATATGGCAAAATGATATATTTAATCACCGGCCTATTTAAATAGTATATATCTATAATAATTAGACATACAAATAACTATAAGTATGATCTTTTTATAAGTAACAACGACTGATATCAATTTCTGATTTTAATATTCAGTACGAAAAATAAGCAAGTATTACTTTGGTTTATCATTTAAGTAGACATTTTTTGTCTAACTAGATATTCATCTAAGAAAATCATCTATTCTATAGTAACAATACCATTAAAGTACAATTTTCGACGATTGCTCCAATTGTAAGACTTATGTATTGCAACTTATCTGTATATCAAGATATTTTATCTGTCATATTTTGAGATATGTAATCTATGATTATTTTTTCCTGCAAGATTTTGCTATAAATTTATTTATAGAAATGTATAACATCTTTTGAAATATACAATTTTTCTTACAAACTTTATTATATTTATTCAATATAATTTATCATGATTCTAAAAATTTTTCCGTATTCGAATTGCCACCCATGTACTTCTGAGTGGCATTTGGATGGGAATTTGAACATAGCCATTAAGAATTCTTTATTGATGCCACAAATTACGTTCACATACTAAACAAATTGTCAAGCAACTGTCCTTAATCTATCTTGTAAAATATTGCTGCAAAAAATTGATGATTTTCCATGAGACTTATTTGTAAAATAGAGTAGAATATAGCTGAGATGATTTTAAAAGCGGTTTTTAGATATAAAATTCAGTTTTTAGATATAATTTTGGTGGTTTAACGGCTCTTATATATCATTTGGGCTGCTTTCTTATCAAACGATCTCTGAGATTAAAGTGCACCTTTTCTTTCTAACATTTAAGATATTTATACAAGATCCTGTCCATTTTGTGTAAGTCCTACTTGGTAATAAGTTTGTTCCAGACTTTAATACCTCTGGAAAATATATTAAAAATCCACAAAATAATTGTTTTTTTTATTTAATAATTTTAGTATTTTTACAATTTGTGAAACTTTTAGGGGAAAGAACTTATCTAAAATACTATAATGGATAACTATTCAGTTTAACCCCCGCATCTCTAAAATCAATGAAATTAGGCTTATTCAAAATTTTTTCATTTCATGCAAAAACACGTTTGATAAGCCTAATTTCATTAGTTTTTGAGGTGCGGGGTTTAAACTGAATAATTACTCTATAACGTTAGTCTCTTGGAGATGCTAAATAATAGCCCGTTCTTTTTGGCTGAACTTTTGCACCAGTTCATCTTTCTTCCTCTTCTTTCCTGCTGAGAGAAAATAATTTGTGCTTTCTTGCGTTCTCTACCAAGATCTATGTATCCTATTACCATTATCCTTTTCACGAAGATATAGGATAAAAATATTAAAATAGATAATCACGGAAATGATTTAGGATCCTAAATAATATTTAAATATAAAAATAAATTATAATAAATAAATAGTAATAAATAAATTATAAATACCATATAGATATATAATAAGGTTACGATATTTAAAACATTGAAATATAGTTAATGCTCCTTGCAACTCGTACTCTGCATACTACTGAAAAAATTTCTTTCACATCTACTGTATTTACTTATTTAAAACTACCGAAAATTTAAGTTACTTCTTTATGTCAAATGCGATTGTAAGCTTCAAAGTCGCATTATCGTTAATCGTGCATGGATTGGGCATTAATGTAGAAAGGTGGTCACTTCTCAATATGTGAAAATTCCGAGAAACAGAATCGATTACCGTGGGTGTACGTATATACACATACATATGTATATACATATGTACTAGTATGTACGTAGTCATCTATTATCGCGGCATCCATAACAAGAGTGTCGTAACCTCACATACGATTCTTTCTCTACATCACAGTCAACATAATTTGGCTCTAAAACTCCGGATATCTCATTATGTCGTTGGACGAAGTAAGGACGATGAGCAAACTTTATTTTGATAAAATTATTTAATAATTTGAATAATTACTCGTGAAAACGGAACGTGTCATACTGTATCCACCTTCCCTTCTTCAGAGACTTAATTTAGAACAAAGTTAGTTACTTTGGTTGGTGAGATAAGTGTTTTAATTATTTTTTTAACACATTGGCAGCACACAAAACATACTATATATGTGTATATGTGTGTGCGCGTGCATGTATTCAAATATTTGTATGTGTGTGTGTGTGTGTGTGTGTGGGTGTGGATGTGCGCGCGTGTGTGTGTGCTGTGTGCGTGGCGCGTGATCGATTCATAGAATAATACGAAAAAGATCAAAAGTGGGCTTAGGAAAACACACGGAAAATTGAGATGATGTAATTTGAGGCATTTAAGTGCCATTGTAGCAAAAGTTGGAAGTATATACTATACAATTACAAAATACACATGTATGCACGTTTTATTTTTAACGGAGAAATTGTAATTTATACAAAATTTATATAAAATTTTATTTTATTCAATTAAAAAATAAATGCATCGATATCATTATTTATTGAAAAATACATACATGCATACATAGTTATAAATTATCATTATATTATCGTTTTTTTTTAACTTGTTCGCTTCCTTCTCAGAATACATTCTATACATGAAAATACACAAATTACAAGATTTACAAAATTACAGGAAAATGGGAAGAAAAATATGTAATTATTTAGAATATATACAGGTCCCCTCCCCCCCCC